CTGTGTCTGGAGCACAAAGGGTCTATGATCAGGTAATCAGATCTGATCCAGGAACATCCACCTGCTAACTTACTTATAAGAGAACATTCGTTCACTCAATCAGAGGAACTGCCAACAACCGCCGATCCTCAGGCAGTCCCTGATCCACGTGATCCACCTGTCAGGGTCACGTGTATGTCCCGCGGGTCTCCAGTCTAACTATATCAGGAATTTCCTCGGAAATGTATCGTATCTCGTCCCCCCGTCTTGCTCCAGGGAAGCACAAGTAAAGCGCTAAGGTATTCAAATTCGGTCTAGAATTGTGCTTATTCATTAAGTGTTACTTTTATGTCCTTTTTTTAGAAATGCCCCATGAGAATCCCGATCAATCGTACAAATCATGTCTGACGCCTAAGCACGGCTCAGGCTCTCACCCTCCTCGGCCTTCTGGAGACCGTACTTCTTCAACCGGATAGACTGGATGGCAATGAAGCCAGTGGTGTCAGTGGGCTCGAAGTCCTCCAAGGAGTCCATCGAGGCCTCCTCGGCGGAGTAGAGCTTCTCGGTGCTGCTGGAGCGACCAAGGATGTAAGTGTGACCCTTGTACAGGCGGACGCGGACCTCGCCGTTGACGCGCTGTGAAACAAATTAGAACCAACGACGTGGATATCATTTACATGCTTGCAATCACTCACCTTCTGGCTGAACTTGATGCTGTTCTCGATGAACTCACGCTCGGCACTGAAGTACCTATGGGACAGTTAGTATCATCTGAATATTGCGCGGCAACATCAACTCTTCTCCGAGATACTTACAGGCCGTTGTAGAGCTGGATAGACCAGTTGTGGGTGACGAATTGGTCACGCAGAGCACGGACCTGACCGTCAAGGACAAGACCCTCAAGGTCAAGGTGAGCATCGCGCAGGATGGTCATAGCAGGAGCTAGTCGAGAAGGTCAGTAATAGCTCTCAAGCAGATGTAAGGCAGGCGGCCGTACAGTCGTAGCAGCCACGGCTCTTGAGACCGATGAAGCGGTTCTCGACGATATCGATACGGCCAACACCGTGGGTGTAGCCGAGCTTGTTGAGAGCGTAGAAGAGCTCGACGGGGTCGGTGTACTCCTTGCCGGGGGCAACAAGCTTGGTGGGGACACCCTGCTCGAAGTGAATGGTGAGGTCGACGGGCTCGTTGGGAGCAGTGAGGGGGTCGGCAGTCATGGTCCACATGTCGGAGGGAGGGGTCTGGTTGGGGTCCTCCAGGATGCCTGCATGCAAAAAGATCGTTAGCAAAGTCCCTCGTAATATGATCCACAATCACATACCGGCCTCGTAACTGCAGTGGGCAGAGTTGGAGTCTGGGGTGAACAGTTAGCGATATCCAAGCAACCATGCACAGCAGTCAATCACGAACCCATGGACCAGGGCTTGGCCTATTTGAGATATATTAGCACACTGCTCAAAATCCTGGTCTGGTAGCCGCTGAAGGTGCTCACCTTGGTGGAAGTGACGGGGATGCCGGTCTGAGCGGCGTAGTCAAGAAGATCGTTACGGCCAGCGAAACGCTTGAAGAACTTAGGATCACGCCAGGGGGCAATGATCTTGATGGAGGGCTGGATGGCGTAGAAGGCCAACTCGAAGCGGACCTGGTCGTTACCCTTGCCAGTGGCACCGTGGCTGACGTACTGGCAGCCCTCGCGCTGGGCAGCGCGCATCTGAGCACGGGCAATCACGGGGCGAGCCAAGCTGGTACCGAGAAGGTAGCGGCCCTCGTAGATGGCATTGCACTCTATTGTGAGTTAGCATGCTTCCCCCCACACACAGAACCCGGGGATCATACGAATGGCGGGGAAGCAGAGCTCAGTGATGAACTCGCGCTGGAGGTCCTCAATGATCATCTTCTTGGCACCAATCTTCAGGGCCTTGGCCTCAACGGCAGCCCAGTCCTCCTCCTGACCGACATTGGCGAGGAAACAGACGACGTCGTAACCCTCCTCTGAAGTATGTGTTAGTCGGTGACCGATCGAAGCGAATGCAAGTGAGCTATACCGATGAGCCAGCGGAGAATACAGCTGGTGTCAAGACCACCTAAAGAGAAACATTTGTTAGCGAATATGGCTCTTATCTTGGGATCAATTGGCGCAAATTGCGGGGTTGAAAAGACGGGGAGGTGGACGTACCGGAGTAGGCCAGACAGACACGGGGCTTTTCAGAGGCCATTTTGTGTGAGTGTGTGAGAGGGATGAGGGTGGAAGATGAAATGAAGATTGAATTCGGAGAGAGATGAAGAGAAACAACGGAATGTGAAGCCGATTAATATAGGACCGCTAGTTCAATGACTGACTGACGGTCGGGGAGGGAAGAGCTGGTGACTAAGAGTCATTGACTCATCCCGGAGTCGGAGCTCTGGGGCCTTACGTAACTCAAACCCCAATTGTGGGCCAATGACCGGGCATAAGCGAGCACGTCCCTATCTATACTCCTCCCCCAATATCTATGCCATAATCGGTGCAGATAATCGCTGATCCATTCTGCACTGGGTATGTTATCGGCATCCTCGAGGGCAACGATCGCCGTCGCTAGCCATTGAAGTTGGCCACCTACCACTGCATTTGCTTCTACTACGTAGCATGATGGATAGTGTCCATTGCACATCCACATTTGATTGTTTAGACTTATTGGACTATTGACTTTTTGATTGACCTTGAGCAGCTACAAGAGTACACATGTACGTCATATCGCCAAAGCGTTGGCGATACATACTATTGTTTGTGAAAAAAGTTCGTCGTCATATTGAATGGGAAGTCACATTCCCATCCCAGAGAATGCGCTACATGCATTAATTGTTATAAAGAGACCTCATGCTTTTGTTCGCCCCGAAAATGATCCCAAAACCCCAGAACCGCAACGACCCAAAAAAACACTATATCTTACAACAACGACCGTAGAACGCCGGTCTGCTCCAGCACAGCCCGACGACTAGTGCCGCCAACTGCATCCTTCAACTCGACAGCACGCTCGTAGTCCAAGCAAGCTTGTACGTCGTCGTCGAAGCGAGCATCAACGGTCTTGAGCTGCTCCAAGGATAAGGTATCCATGGGGACTTGGTGCTTCTCAGCCAGGGCAACAACCCGGCCAGAGATGTGGTGGCCCTCACGGAACGGCACACCCTTGCGGACAAGGTAGTCTGCAATCTCGGTTGCCAGCATCTCAGGGGCAAGAGCGGCAATCATCTTCTCCGGAATGACGGTGAGGGTAGAGAGAACGCCGGTGGCAATCTGAATGCTGTCTCCGACGGTCTTGATGTGATCAAGGAGAGGCTCAACACTCTCCTGCAGATCCTTGTTGTAGGTGGTGGGCAGGCCCTTGATGGTGCACATCAAGCCGGCCATTTGGCCGAAAGCACGGCCAGACTTTCCGCGCAGAAGCTCCAGGCTGTCTATTCATCATTGAGTTAGCATCGTCTAACTTCAAATTATTAATACATAGAAAAGAGCCGACATACCTGCGTTCTTCTTCTGAGGCATCAACGATGATCCAGTCGAGTATGCGTCCGACAGGCGGACAAATCCGAATTCCAAGCTGCTGTAGATGATGAGATCTTCGGCCCAGCGAGAGATCTTCAACATGAATGAGCTGCCCCACTGCATGGTCTCCATGGCGAAGTCACGGTCTGCCACGGCATTCATCGAGTTGTACAGAAGGCCATCGAAGCCCAGCTCCTTGGCCATAGCCTCACGGTCGATGTGGAAGGGGTTTCCGGCCAAAGCACCAGTACCGAGCGGGCTGCGGTTGACCCGCTTGATGACTTCCCGGAGCCGCTGAAGCTCGCTGGCGAAAGCGGTGGCATGCGACAAGATCCAGTGACTCCAGCGGACAGGCTGGGCCTTCTGCAAGTGGGTGTAGCCGGGCATAATGTACTCGATCTCGGACTCGGCACGGGCAATGGAGACCTTGATGAGATCGCACAGGAACTGGTCAAGCTTGCGGAGTTCATCGCGGAGCCAAAGCCGCATGTCCGTGGCAACCTGCTCATTACGAGACCGACCGGTGTGCAATTTGCCTCCAATCTCCTTGCCGATGATTTCCGACAAGCGACGCTCGTTGGCAGTGTGGATATCCTCATCATTCTCCTTCACGACGAAGGTATTCGTGCTCCATTCCTCAGCGATCTGCTTGAAACCGCGTTCGATCTCGGCGAATTCCTGTTGAGACAGGATACCGGTCTTGGTGTTGGCACGGGCAAAGGCAATGGAGCCGGCGATGTCCTGCTTCCAAAAGATGCGATCGTATGGCAAGGATTCGTTGTACTGTACCATTAGGGGGTCGAGGCCCTCTGTGATGAAGTGAAGCGGAACGCGTTAGTCGGTGCAATTGGAGCCATTGAGGATGGAAAGGGAGACGAACGAGTGAATCGACCACCCCAGAGCATATTTTCAGCAACTTTAGGAGCGCTCATGATGGCAAAGTGTGTGTGTGTGAAGATGTGATTGATGTGTTGGGAAGAGAGAAGTTGAGTAGCGAGCTGAGGACAGCAGATACTAATAAAGGACGCCAGCCCGGCGAGGGTGGGGAACGGTAGGTATGACTCCTTCGGCTGAATTAGGCAAGTCTGATTCATCGTCCTAGTGCCGGGCCCACGGGAGCGATATCGGCCCGACGAGAGAGGCACCAGACCGGATGCGGCAAGGGCTCTTATCTTCATCACGTGCAGTGAGCGGCCCTTGTTAGGGCTCCGCAGCATCAGTGACTAACTTAGATGTATGCCGAACTTATGTCAGATCAATTGCCCCGGAAGGATGCCTTAGTCCGTCTCTGGTGGAGCCTGGCGATTGCACTACGTACTTGAGTATGTAGATTCAGTCAATTGGAGTATAGATCCTCCGTCGTCATCAATATCGAATACGAATTGATCACTGACAGGGCGTACGCTTACTGGTAAAATCCCCCCTGAAGGCTCGAACACTGTCAAACAGCAAAAACCACCAACCAAGGTGGAACCTTGGTATTAGCACAACACGACATTATAAGACCCGCCGCCCCTCCGCGGGCTTCATCCATGACTCAGTCTCGACTGCAACAGCTCTTTCCCTCATACATACGCTTGATAATTCAACCACCCTCCTACCTTAGAATCTCAATTCACTTCTCAAAGTCTACTCAATCAATCTCCATACCTTCTAACCAAAATCATGACATCCTCCTTCCCCCCTCCGCCCGTCAGTTCCATTGACTGGAACAATGTCGGCTTCAAAGTCCGCGATGGTACGTTCATCCCCCAGCAGCGTCATGATCAGTCAATCCCCCGCGCAAGCCCTCAATTGCAATCCCAGCACCAAAACACATCAAACTAACACCCTCGCCCTTCTCTGCACAGTCAACGGTCACATCGAATGCCACTACAACACCAGCACATCGAGCTGGTCGGCGCCGAAATTCATCCCGACCCCGCACCTCAGCATCCACGGCATGGCGCCGGGGCTGAACTACGGGCAGCAAGCGTACGAGGGGCTGAAGGCCTTCCGGCACCCGACCGACACCAACAAGATCACGATCTTCCGGCCGGACCGCAACGCGGTGCGGATGCGCCACTCGGCGGAGTTCATCTCGATCCCGCCGGTGCCGGAGGCCCTGTTCGTGGAAGCGGTGCAGCTGGCCGTGGCGGCCAACGCGGAGTTCGTCCCGCCGCACGAGACGGGCGCCGCCATGTACATCCGGCCGCTGATCTTCGGGTCGTCGGCGCAGCTGGCCCTGACCGCGCCCGAGGAGTACATGTTCGTCGTGTTCGTCATGCCCACGGGCGTCTACCACGGGGTCAGCGCGGTCGATGCGCTCATCCTCGAGGACTTCGACCGCAGCGCCCCCGCCGGCACCGGCTCCGCCAAGGTGGGCGGCAACTATGCGCCGGTGCTGCGGCACAGCGCCAAGGCCTACCGCGAAGGGTTCGGCATCACCTTGCACCTCGACAGTCGGACGCGCTCCGAGGTCGATGAGTTCTCCACCTCCGCGTTCATCGGCGTCAAGAAGGATAAGGCCGATGGCACCGTCACCCTCGTGCAACCGGACAGCAACAACGCCATCGACTCCGTGACCGCCGCCTCCGTGCTGGAGATCGGCCAGCGCTTGCTCGGGTACAAGTCCGAGAGGCGCCGCGTGCCGTACGAGGAGATCCGGGAGTTCGATGAGGTCATCGCCTGCGGCACGGCGGCCGCCCTCGTGCCCATCCGCAGTATCACGATGCGGTCGAAGAACGACAAGTTTACGTTCCAGAGCGGCGGCGACGCGAACAACGGTGGTGAAGTCTGCGTCAAGCTCCTGCAGACGCTGAAGGGGATCCAGAACGGAAAGGTCGAGGACAGGTTTGGCTGGAACTTGACCGTCGAGAGGCCGCCGCAGGAGCTGTTTGAGATTGCGGCTGCCCCCGAGGAGGCGGAGTCGAACGGTGTCAATGTGCCATAAGTAGGTGTAATGAGATCAAGGACAGGCGACGAGGAAATGCAATCAAAAGTCATTCATTGGTTTGTTCCTAGCATCTTGGCTATTTACTCCCATCACATTAAGAACATGAACCATGCATTGTCGAGATTTACGTTATCATACATGACATTAGATACCCCTAGTTCAATTACTACCACTCTCACTTTCACTCTCGCTCTCGCTCTCGCTCTCACTTTCACTTTCACTTTCACTGTCGTCTTCGCTGTCACTATCGTCATCGGCTCCGGGTATAGCTGGGGTCTTCGATTGAAGATTCTTGGTAGCCTCTCTCTCTCTCGACTTCTTCTCCTCTTCTAATTCCTTCTTGCGTCTCGCGGCTAATTCTTTCAGTGTGCAACGGGTTGCTTGAGGCACCCCACGGGCGTGGGACCATGTGACAGTCGTAGCTGGGGGTTGGGGCAGCATGGGGGACTTGGACTTGAAAGGCGACGACGCATTGGGCATATGCTTGACGTTTTGCGACGAAGGTGGGGGGCTGTCGTCTTCTTCATCTTCAGACTCTGAGCTTGAGCTTGAGCTTGCATCTGACTCCGACTCGGACTCTGAACTGGATGCAGTGAGGTCGAGCTTGGTAGTGGACGAGCTCTCTTTTGCCCGTGAACTACGGCTTGGAGTCGATGACAAGGACTGCTGCACCCGCTGAGCTGAACCTCCTTGAGCTGGTCGTTGACTTGATCCGCCCTTGAGTTTTGTCGCGCTTTGAGTCCCGGCTGGTGTCGAACGAGGATGCTCGATTTTATTAGATGGCTGTGTGGCGGGCTTTGCTTTCGAAGGTAGTGTGAGCAAAGACCTCAACGGGCCCAGTTTCTCGATCTGCTGGCGCAAGTCTCGGACCTTATTCTCTAGCTCTTTTCTAGCAGATACATTGCTCTTCCGCCTGCCGAGCTTCTGAAGTGTATTCCATGTTTCCACGAATGCCTTCAACAATTGAATACCTTTATTATCACAACCCTGCTTCGTGGCTTTCTCGAGCGTCTGTCGTGCCTCCACTGCAAAGATTCTGTATTCGCCTTCGTCAAAGATGGCGTCTTTAGGTTGTTTGGCAATCTCCTTCGCAATAGACTGGGCTATCACGGGGGGCTTGGTAGAAGTTTTCGTGTTCCGGTCTGCGACCTCTTTCTTGATGGAGCCAGTGCTTGCTGATTTTTGACTAGACACCGGTGCTGGCCCAGACTTGGTCACAATTACATCAGAACTATCCGCAAATGACACTGAGCGACGGCCAGACAGATCGTGAGCGGTATCGTCCTTGCACAAGGTAGAACGGGCTGGTTTGACCGGTGTCGCAAGCTTTGTCGGGGTTTTCTGAGTACGAGAGGGGGATCCGAGACTGTCAACACGCGTTGCCGATTGCTTGCCAGAAGGGCTACTCGTGATGCCCAGCCCAAGACCAGGTTTAGGTGGCGCTCGAGGCGAGCACTCCGCGAAGCTTAGACGTCGCCCAGCACTAGAGAAAGACGGGGCCCGATCGCGGCGGCGTGGCGTCGAGGGACTCGCTTCGGCTTTGCTCGAAGTGCATACAAGGTCATCTTCCATTGCGTGTGGACTCTCAGGCTCCTGTCGTCGCGGCTCTTTGTTCGGCTTCAGGCTTTCCAGGCTCAACTTCCGTTTCCGTAATCCGTTGGGTTGTTCGAGAGTACCATTTAAATCAGCGGTGCCGTTGACATTCGGTTTGTTGGTCCTAGCAGGAGTAGGGACAGACAGGTTTTCTTTCTCAGCTGCAGCTTCAGTCATCGTGATATCCCGTTCTGGGTTTGTTATGCCCTCATCGAGATTCTCCGGTTCACTCTCGTCGATGACAATTTCCATGACCTCGCTTTTATTGTGAGTCTTTTGTTCGCCCTTGGTTCTTTGCGGCGAGCCAAGCATAAGCTCTGCTTCCTCCTCGATTATAGAATGCGGCGCAACCACCTGCCTTGAGCCGGTTCTTGTATATGAGAGGTTTGTCTTGAAGGGTCTTGAGCTGCGATGCAAATCGCCCAACTCTTGACTTTCCGCCCGCTTGCGCGGAGGGGTTGGCGCAACAACACGATGCTGCTGTTGTTGGAAAATGGGTTGTTTGGCCACGTGTAGAGGTGATCCTTGAAGATCCTCTGCTTCCACGGAGGAGACAGGAATGTCGCTTGAGCGCACCAAACTTTCATGAGCACTCCATGCCGACGAGGTCGCGCGGTGGCTAGTCGACTCGAAATTGATGGTATCCCGGGGATCTTCATAGATGGTCGGGATTTGACTCATCTCCTTCCGTATGATCTCTTTTTTGATGAGCCTCTGGCGCTCGGCGTCTTCCGCCAGAGCATCCCAGTCGTGAGTGACGGAGGGAAGACGGACAGGTGTGTGTTGGGTAGGCTTCATAATAACACGGACAGTGGCGCGCTGATCCGAGGCGTCCTGACGGGCTTTGCCTTGATTAACGAAGACATCAGCTACAGTCAAGTCTGCGTCGAGATCGTAGGTGTCGTTCTCATCGTCGAGCAGCTTTTTGATCTCGAGGGACCTGGTTATCCAGTATCTGTTAGCACATCCGAGGCACAAGTAAAAGTAGTCAAGCCCTTGCTTTTGCGAGGCCATTGGGCCTCTCTGAGTCAGAGAAGGAAGGCCGTCCGGAACTGGATGGTCTTCAAGTAAAGTATGAACTCACTCAGCATCTGGTCTTCGCTTTTTCCATTTCTCGCGAATGATCTGAGCCAATTCACCAAGATTTGTCTCCTCCGGGCTCTCAAGGACAATCAAGTAACTATCAAGCTCACGATCCCGGAAGTCATGCTTGCCTTGACCTAAGCCATCGCGATCAGTCGAGGACGATGGTGCCTGCAATTGCTCGCGAGCAAAAACTTTAACTCCGAGTCGCAGGAGAACCATGTCGCAGGTTGAGGGTGTTGAGATGTGAGGCGCAAAGATATGAGGGAGGGATGGAGATCAGGAGAATGTTTCGTCTACACGAAGAATTGTAGAGCTGTTTGTCCGTGCATAGGGACTGGTGAGAAAGGTCTTTCGAGTGACTGGGGAAGAGGAAAGGTGAAAGGGCGAGTCGGAGGTCGAAGGATAGGACGAGAGGAAGAGGATGGAAAGTGGTTGGAAAGGGTGGGTGACTAAAAACATAACACAGAGCGATGTGTTATTCGAGTGAAGGGTTCAAGTTTTCATAAGGTTGCTGCGACAAAGTGAAGGGTGGAGGAAGTCCCGCGGGTTGTGCTCGGATTTAATGAACTGTAGCAAAATAAAATAAATTGTGACAGCAACCGATCATTGGTTCGCGGGGCGCAAAATCAACGCGTTTCACCGCCTGGCAGCCACGGGTCCAGTTTCACGAAGTCACGTGTTGATCAAATAATCCAAATCAGGCAATATGACTTGATCTATCCTATAACTAGTTATTAAGCTCAAGGAGGTGGGTCGTCATTATGTATGCTCTTCTGCTGGTCACTCGTTCTATATACTGGTCCCTAGTCAGCCGAGAATCCTTCCAGCCTCTTGTTGACGCTGATTCAAGTCAAATCAGCTGAATGTGTAATGGGATGATGACCTCAAATGCAAATAAATGTACATGGATGGTAAATCCCACCACTTCCGCTTTGCTTCCGCTTCTACTGCAAAAACTTTTCCACGGCACCTCCAATATTCTTCAGATCAAGCAGGAAGGTATCATGCCCGAAATGTGACACATCCTCTCCCAGCTCAATATGCTCAACAGTTTGGTTTCCTGTTGCGCGAAGCGTCTCTGCAATTTCGCGTTGTTGCCAGGCCGGAAAGAGGATATCACTGGCGACGCCAATCACCAAGACTGGGTGATTCTTCAGCGGCGCAAGTCCACGGACCAAATCTTGTGGGGGCGTATCCGGCCCCTTTCCACCATCGGTGACAGCTTGGTCCATAGAAGGCGTTGACGCAGTTTGAGATGGTTGCTCTTCATACGGCTTGGCGGGAAGAGTCAAGCTGCAGGTGATATTGTTTTCTTGAGCATCGCTACCGCCCTCAGCGATCTTAACTTCGTTGGCGGCTCTCCGCTGCTGGGTCTCTGATTGATGGGCATAGCCTAAGTCAAACAAGTCCATGGCTTTCGACACATAAAGCAGACTGTTCGGATCATACTCCAAACAGAATTTCTCTCCGGCATGGTCAAGGTACGTCTCAATCAAGAAATCCGGACAGAGAGCAGGCTGCTTGCTGGGATCTGCGCGCTTGCGTCCGAACCGCATCTCCCATTCGGGACCACTGCGGTATGTCACTGTGGCAATCTCCCGAGCGAGCTTCATTCCCGAATGAGGGGGGACGGAATCATAGTAGAAGCCTCGGGCCCATTTCGGATCCATCATCAGCACTTGACGTTGTGTGTGCCTCATGGCAATGCTGTAGGGGTGGCTCCGTGCGCATCCGCTAATGCTGACAACTTTGCCAATGCGCTCCGGAAAAAGGACACCGGCAGCAAGACTCTGCATCCCGCCCATACTGGATCCAACAGACGCATACAACTTTTGAATGCCTAGTGAATCCAGAAGGCGGAACTGTGCCCGTACCATATCCTCAATCGTGAGGATGGGGAATCGAGTGGCATATCTCTTGCCGTCGGAAGGGTCAATTGTTGAGGGTCCAGTACTTCCGTAACATCCTCCGATAACATTTGTGCAGATAATGAAGTGTTTGTTCGTGTCGAGAGGCCTACCGGGACCGATGAACTTTTCCCACCAGCCTGGCTTCGGGTTAGCTTCGGTGCTGTGTGCGTGACTCGATGCTGAAAGGCCGGTGTGTAACAGAATGGCATTGCTCTTGTCGGCGTTTAATTGACCCCATGTTTCGTACGCGATGTCAAATTCGCGGAGCACACCACCCCAGTCCAGAAGAATCGGATCTTCGCAGTGAAATTGCTCATGGTGGCCAGTGGTGTATGAAGGTTCGGGCCCGGATTCAAGCGACCGCGCGGATAGCTGGGCAGATTTGGCGTCCTGGGCATCGAGGCATGGAAAGGAGAGAGCAGGATTGGACGAGTCTCGTAAACTGGATTGCGCAGCAGCCGGTTGTGACTTGCGCTGAGGAGCTTGATGTAAAGCCCGAGAGTGAAGTAGTGGGCTGATTCGAACAACTGGACGT